AAAAAAAAACAAAAGAACGCAATTTTTACGTTACACCTGATCTTGTTATCTAATTGGCTAGATTCTGAAAATATCACGTGACAGTAACTTTTTTTTCGCCATGGCTAGGGTACTAGGGATGCATAGATGCACGTCACGATTAGAAAAATAATCGCATCTATGATAAAAAAAAATTAGAATTTCGGCATGTCTAAAAGTCAAAATATTTTTACAGAATTAAAAAAATTTTCAGTTAACAGCTCTATAGAAACGCAAACAAGACGTAAAAAACGTAAGCTACTAAAAGCGAATAAAGGGAGTCATAAGAACAAAAAGCATAAAAAGGAGGATTTTATAGACGTAAATGACCTTGATTGGTCTGAGGTCGTATGTCCAGAATCTGTATTTCTAGGTGATGAGGATTTGGGTGGTTTTCTATGTTTGGAAGAAATCGATAATGTTGACGTTGAATATAAGGAAACCGCTACTAAGGGGAGCACGATTAGATTTAAGGTTGGATATTACAATGCTGTTCTCTTGCTCGGAATAACGTTTTTTACTGTTCTAAGTGATGCTCATAACATTAACTATTTATAAAGAAAGTTGCATCTAATAAACCGATCACAAAAAAAAAAAATCCACCTGCAAAGCCTCACGAGCCATTATCAATAGAAGAATTATCAAAGTTTCATGATTTGGACACATTCAATGAACAATCCTTTTTAAAGGGTCAACAATCATACCATGACGTGGCGCCTGTTTCTCATTCAGATGAAAATTTGGTGTCAAAGCATGATGAAGATGGTTCGAATCTTCAACTTGGAAATGAAAGTAAACTATCTTTTTTTTTTTTTTTTTTTTTTTCTCCCATGAATTTGACCATATGTTTTTATTATAGATATTGATGTCTCTGCCTGGAGAGAGTTTAACCTTTCTTTAACTATAATGAACGGATTAAAAGCTCTCAAATTTGAAAGGCCAACACCAATTCAAGAAAAGACTCTTCATGCAAGTCTGAACGGACGAGATGTCATTGGCAAAGCAGAAACAGGATCGGGAAAAACACTTGCTTTTGGAATTCCAATATTGGAGTATATAATCAAGCGAAAAAAAAAGGATTCTGAAAACCAATTGGTCGCTCTTATCCTGACACCAACAAGAGAATTGGCTATGCAAATTAAAGTTCATCTTCAAAATGTTGGAAAGTTCGCTACAAATAACGTAAGGCATTCCTTCTTTGTGAGCTTTAGCACAAATTGTGCTATTAATTACATTATTTACCGTTCTCATTGAATCACATGTTTAGATAATGACAATTGTTGGAGGTATGGCGATTCAAAAACAAAAACGATTACTTGAAAAGAATCCTAACATAATTGTTGGTACTCCGGGACGATTATGGGAACTTCTTTCCGAGGTAACAAAAAAATATTACTCTACAAGCGTTATCATTTGAATATTCAAAACTTTCATGAAATGTCATGACAAATTACTGACTCGAATAGAATGATGAATACATAAATGCACTTCGTCATATCCGATTCTTGGTCCTTGATGAAGCGGATAGGATGTTAGAGGCTGGACATTTCAAAGAACTGAATTATATACTTTCAATGTTGTCAAGGAGTAAACAGTGAGTTGATTCCTTTATGATTCGTAATTTTGTTTTCTTATATTATAAATAACCTTTACAATTAATAGAGAACAGAATGTCGATAACAAAATAATACTAGATGCCAAAAGAGGTGAATTAATTAACCATTAGTTTTGTAAATAATTCTGTTATGTTTCAATTTCACTGATGTTCGCTTGTAACTTAGATCTTCCCGCAAGGCAAACATTTATATTCTCAGCTACTTTAGATAACAATTTTAAAAGTAATCCAAAACGAAAAAAACCACTTGATGGGGTTTTGAATTCACAAGGAACAACTGGTAATTAATTTTTATCTTTTACGTCACCACTATTTCTAAACTCAACTTTTCTGCATTCTTACATTCCAAAACAGCTGAACTGATGAGTAGGATAGAGTTTAGAGATTCTAACCCATTATATATAGATATTACTCCAAAAGGTTCCGTCGTGGAAACTCTGCAAGAATCTAAAATTGATTGTTTAGCTAAAGAGAAGGTTATAATTTTCGAATTCTTAGCAAGTCACCATAGACATCACAGCTATATTAAAGTACTTGTGATTATTTAGGATTTATATATGTATTATTTCGTTACACGATATCCCGGCAGAACTCTTGTGTTTGTGAATAGTATTGATACGATTCGTCGATTGATCCCGATGATGAGATTACTTAATATAGAAGTTTTTGCCCTTCATGCCCAGATGCAGCAAAGACAAAGGTTAAAAAATTTGGATCGGTGAGATAAATCTGCTTATAATTTTATAATTTGAATAATTCAAGTCACCATAAGATTTATTAATTCCGACTAAAAACAATAATACCAGGTTCAAGCAAAATTCAAACGCGGTGATGGTTGCTAGTGACGTGGCGGCTCGAGGACTGGATATTCCACTCGTTGATCATGTGATACATTATCAGTTGCCACGTTCTGGAGATGTGCGTATGATTATTGGTTTGTTCATTATAGTTCATTATGATTAATTGTTTTTAATCCGCTTATTGTAGATATATGTCCATCGAAGTGGTCGTACAGCTCGTGCGCGTAATGAAGGTATTAGTTTGATGTTATGCAGTCCAGAAGAGTCAAGTTTGTACCGAAAAATTTGTCAAGAGTTGAAGAAGGGTTAGTTGCACCTATATGATACATCATTTGCCTTATGTACTTGATTTTCTTCCTCATTTTATTTTTAAAAGTCAATGGGATAGCTAATTTTCCAATCGATGGTGGAATAATCAATTCCATGAAGCAACGTATTGATTTGGCAAGACAAATCGATCAAGAAGAACACAAATTGCAAAAGGTATGCATTTTCTTTTTGATTAATATCCTGGCTTTTCGATACTTATATACATTTATTTCAGGGCAACCATGATGATGAATGGTTTAAGAAAGTCGCAGAAGATCTAGAGGTGGATTTGGATGAGGATCTTCTTTTCAATAAAAAAGGGATTAATAAAGGGAGACAGAACAATGATATTAAACATAAAATTCAAACATTAAAACTTCAACTGAAAGAATTATTATCTCAACCATTAGTTCCACGTGGTGTATCTACTAAATATTTAACAAGTGGTATTGTTCGTGATTTAGCTGATAGATTGTTAGATGGTTCGTCGTGTAAGTAATAAAATAGTAATTTGTATTTATACAAATGGGATCTTTGCCTTGAAAATCACGTTATGGGACATGTCACATAACGTGATTTTCAAGGCAAAGACCCCAAATAACAACTTCATTTATTTACCGGTCTTCTTTTAAATAGGTAATTCTAAAATCTTGGGAATACAAAAATCCAAGGCAACTGAAGATTTAAAATCAAGGAATTATAAAAAAACACCCTTTAAACAATAGTTTTTTTTAAAAAAAAAAAGTGATTATTTATTCTATTTTCAGATTTTATTTAATAGTAGATTCGCAAATTTTATAAAAAGTAAAAATTTAGGTGATGTAAACTTGGTATTTGTCACTTAGATGTTAAAAAAAATTTATTACCGCTGGCCATTGCATAGTGTCCCCCAAAATAATACCCCCGATTAAGACCCATGCCTGTCTAGCTCAATTCTTGAATAACACTCGGAGAGCATACATAGCTACATTAGTTAGTTTATTACTTTTTACATGATATCTTCCCCAAATATAGTATCCTGTACCCACGGGTACTATCCAATTTATAAAATAAAGTTCTTGTATGCAGAGCCTAAAAAAATAGATTGTGACATCTGATTGTGCGTGTCCTCCGTAAACTTGACCTGAATTATACTACATGGCCCACTTTAAGGGGTTAAATTCGGCCAGTAAATGATATTGATAATCTAGGACCGGCTAAATGCGCTGTTATCGTAAGTTCAAATGATCTAAAAAAAAAAAAAAATATATTATCGTATTATCGGGTAATTTTTTAAGTGACGTGTATACGTTCTTCGGACACGACACAATAAATCATATTTGATATGAGGGAATTACCGTCGAAGGAATCCGCTCTTTTCAAACAAATTCTTGCAAGTATCT